TTGTCTGTATCCTCATTTAAAAAAATTAATTTCACTTCATGTCGCTGCAACAACAGGAAGTGAGAGGAAATGTATCCCGAGGAAGAGAAATTCATTCCGCTAAGAGTTATCATGGGGAAAAGGAGTGTCCACTGAAGCTTTATCACAAATCCTTGTTTCCCCAACAAGCCAAATTTTTCTAAATCCAATYGTCACAGGGACAGAAAGCACAAATAGCAAAACAAACACCACTGAGGCRKTAACCCTTCCCTGTGCTATCAAAAACTAAAAAAGATTGCCTGGAGTTACAATTAAGAAATGTACCTGTTCTAACTTGCATACAAATTCAACTTAATAACAAACCTACAGAACTTTTCTTGCTGTAACYAGGGGACTGCCTCTACATGGCATTTTAGCTGTAGTATTACAACTTACTTAAAATGCCTACAAAATAGGCTTGTGTATATTGTTATTTTCCTCTTAAGATTTCATCCATGAGGTCCTAGATTGGTATTCCATTTGTGAAGTTCTATGGTTTTCTTGCAGTGGAGARAAAACTTTTAACTTGGATTTGATTACAGATGGAATTTACAGCACTACAGTAATGAAAAGTGGTTTACAGTTTCCTCAGTGAGTTAAGCTAGTATTAAAGATACCTGTAATTTATTTGAAAATGGATTGAGGAAATGGGTTCTAAGAGAAGTACCTTATAAATATAATTAGTGGTAAATAGCACATTTTCTGTCCATTTCCACAAATTTGATATGTTTAAAAATGTGTTGTTTGTCTCAWTCTCTTTCTTTAATATAAATAGCTTTCTATATTGTATATATTGTATGTAATATATATAATATATTGTATGTAATATATACCTTGTAAGCCGCTCTGAGTCCCCTTCGAGGTGAGAACGGTGGCATAAAAATGTCATAAATAAATAAATTAGCAAAAATTGTGAGATGTTGTGTAGAAATAAGGATATTTTGTTTAGTTCTCCAATCCCTTTGTGACATGGAATGACAGAGAACAGGGTCACACCAAGCAGAAAACTTTGAGGAACTTCTTTCATTACAGATCCAGATATAATGAATAATTAAAAATCATATGTCCCAGGAAAATGCATAAAGTATAAATAAATAAATAAGCTTTGGTTAGCATATGGAAGGCTTAACACCCCTGTGGCATTTGTTTTTCTGTCTCTGTCCCTGTTCAGAAGATGTCACCTCACTTTCTGTCCTTCTGACAGTCGGATTTTGAAAAATTTGGCTTGCTGTAGAAACAAGGATTGGCAAGAAATCTTCAGTGGAGACACTTTTTACACATGATACTCTTATAGGGGTACATTTTCCTTTCTAGGAATAGACACTCTCATTTCCTATTATAGAATCATAGAATCATTAAGTTGGAAGAGACCTTGTGGGCCATCCAGGAAAATCACATTTAAAGCATCCCCGACAGATGGCTATCCAACCTCTGTTTAAAAGCCCCCAAAGAAGAAGCCTCCACCACACTCCAGGGCAGAGAGTTCCACTGCTGAACAACTCTCTGAACAAGCTCTTCCTAATGTTCAGGTGGAATATCCTTTCCTGTAGTTTGAAGCCATTGTTCTGCGTCCTAGTTCTAGGGCAGCAGAAAACATGCTTGCTCCCTCCTAACTAGGACGTCCTCTCACATATTTATACATGGCGGCTATCATGTCTCCTCTCACCATTCTCTTCTTCAGGCTAAACATGCCCAGCTCTTTAAGCCGCTCCTCATAGGGCTTGTTCTCCAGACCCTTGATCATTTTAGTCACCTTCCCTTGGACACATTCCAGCTTGTCAACATCTCCCTTCAATTGTGGTGCCCAGACCACAGCAGAATAGTGGGGTAGCGTTACTTCCCTGGATCTAGACACTAGACTCCTATTTATGCAGGTCAAAATCCCATTGGCTTTTTTTGCCACCACATCACATTGTTGGCTCATGTTTAACTTGACGTCCAAGATCTTTTTCACAGTACCACTGTCTCACCCTTATTTGTAACTAGGAGTTGTATGGAAGTCGGATGTCTGTAACTTAAAGACTCCCTGTAACTCAGCAATTGTTGGTGGTAATAATTTTGAAAAAATTGGCTTTTTGTGGAAACAAGGATTGGTGATAAAGCTTCAGGAGAGACACCTTTTCCTCAAGGTTACTCTTTAAGGAGTTGATTTCTCTTATGAGAGATAGATTGCTTTCCCTTCCTGCTGCCTCAAACTCATTCTTAACTATGAATCATCTGTAAGTTAGATGTTCATAACTTGGGGACTGCCTTTATTGGGAGAACCAGAGAAATACAAGAAATAATGCAGCTTTTCCTTGTGCTTAATTTTAAGAAAAACTGCCTTCCAACACTGTAATCAATATCACCTTTGGATATTCCACTTAAAGAAATCATGAACTACTCAATATAAATGAATTAAAATATAAAAGGTCCTATGAGAAGAGAAAGCAACATACAACAAATGACTAAACATCAACAAATGCAGCTCAGCATTTGCTTGAAATGTTCTTTACCAATGGCCTCAAGTACTCTTTATCTCACTATCGAAACACCATCAGAATGTCTAGCCAGAACTAAAGAGCTACAGCTTATGTTCTTTATCTGCCTGTGTAATCTTGTCACTTTTATCAGTTTCTTTTTTTTTACTTTTGTCCATGGATATGCTTTTGCAAAAAGTCACAATTGTTGCCCAAGAATAATTCAGAAAAAAATGAAAGCTATCTAGAAATGATAACCATGTATATAGTACATGGCTGAGCATTCAATTGCAATATGAAAATTATAAGCATTATAAATGCCAAGTTCATCTCATATAATTAGAACATGCATTCTCTCCTACTGAGAAAAGTATAAAGCTATGAAAAATAAGACCCACAGGGAAGCAAGAAAGAAGCAGAACAACCCATTCAGCCTGTCAGCCTGTACCAAATTCAATGTCAAAATAGTGGAAGTCACACTGATAGACCCCATAAGGGTTGCATCAGGCATCGCCCAAATGAATTCCAATTTTCCTGCTATAGTACTAAAGACAGATGTGGAAAAGAATTCTTATAGGAAAAAAATGAGAAGACAGACATATGTGAGATTAATTTTCCCTCAAAAGAGAACAAAGAAGATTAACAGCCAAAAGAAAAATCAGCCCATGTGGGGGTGAAGGGGCGGGGGTGGGGGGAGAGTTATAAAGACGTAAACCAATAAACGGAAAAGAACAGGTCAGAGGTAAAGAACACACGGTGATTCTAGTTCAGATTAGAAGAAGGTTTGAATTTTCATTTTAATTCATATCCCATATTTGGCAACATGCAACAATATATTTAATTACTTAAGATAATAACTGGATCCTGGATGCTCTAGAACAGCCATTTGACAAGGTTCTATGGGGCTAAACTTAGATTATGAATTAGGCAACCATATATACTCATCTGTACAATCTTGGTAGGGACCATTCTTTTTTAAAAATAAGGAATGCAAAAGAAAGAATCCATATTATTTCTGATATTTGAATGGAAATATTGTTTGATATCCTTCCTAACCCTGGTGTCTTCCAGATGTTGTCAACTTCAACTCCTATGATCCCTCAGTCCTGATTATTAGTCAGGGCTAATGAAGAATAGTACCACACAGGAACAGCTTGAAAATGGTTGCTTGTATTCCCATCTTACATGAGCAGCTCCAAACATTGTTTGCCTCAATACAGTAATATTATAAACTGCTTTTTGCTTATTTGCAAATATACTTCCTAATAATTGGATGAGCATTTTTAAATTGTGCTGTGGTTAGCTGGTATGGGAAGGGTATTAAATCCATGCCTTCCTCCCTTCTCACCGGGTAATTGCTTGATTACTTATAGCAGACCTCGTGAATTGCTTGCATTTTGAACTTGTGGAAAAGGTATGAATTCCCAAAGGACATGTGGAATTTCTAGTATATCTCATCTAGGGAGGAAACTTATTGCATGCCTTCTGTGACAATATATAATAATAAATAATAATAAAACTTTATAGACCACCCTATCTCCCCAGAGGGTCTCAGGACAGTTTCCAACACATATGGCAAACATTCAATGCCAACAAAGAGGCATATAACAGATTACATCAAAACATGACACATCACAAAAAATAGGACAACCATTACTATAAACTTAATACCAAATAAAAAATAACCAAAAAATAAAACGAAACAATCCTAACAGATAACACTTCAAAACATGAACTAATAGCCAACACCGAGGGCTGCTCATTTTCACTCCCCAGCATCTCATGTGCTGATCCCCAGAAGCCACGCATGAACCTCCTTAATAACTTCAAAGAACAATAAATGTACATAAAGGTGTTTCTCTACTGATTGCCATCAAGGAAATCAGGACAATAAATTGCACCTCAAATGACCAACAAACAAACAAGTCCCTATTTTGCTTGCATAAGCAATTTGTCATGTTGATAGCATAGCTTTGGTTTTGAAACTAAATTTCTACATGCCCTATGAGTAGCGGCTTAAAGAGCTATGTTTAGTCTGGAGAAGTTTGAGAAAAGACATGATAGCTATGTTTAAATATTTGAAAGTATGTCATAAAGAAGAGGAAGCAAGCTTGTTTTCTGCTGTCCTACAGGCTAGGACTCTGAGCAATGAGTTCAAATTACAGGAAAGGAGATTCCACTTGAACATTAGGAAGAACTTCCTGACCATAAGAGCTGTTGACCAGTGGAACTCACTGCCTTGGAGTGTGGTGGAGGCTCCTTCTTTGGAGGCTTTTAAACAGAGGGGGATAGTCATCTGTCAGGGGTGCTTTGATTGTGCTTTTCCTCTATGGCAGGGGGTTGGATTGGGTGGTGATTGTGGTCTCTTCCAACTCTATGATTCTATGCATTCCTCCTATCAAGCAACACCATAGTATCATTGAAAAAGAACGTAACCTTACTTGTAATATAATTTCAGACTTTAAACAAATAAATGGGAAGAACAAGTGGTATGGAAGGGAGAACGCAAGCAAATGATCTTACCTGGTTTCTTCATCTATGCTCTGCAAAGGAAAAAAACACACAAACAAAAATTAAATATAGTTTTTTATCTCTTAGATTATTGTGAATACATAATATATGATAGATACATAAAGAGGCTGCTGTCTAATGATGTAAGAGAGGTATAACCCTGTTAATGGAGGTCATCATCATTAGATTTCATGCTACAGCCTCTTCTTGACCAGAAGGGCATGATGAATAGCTCATTTATTATACTGGGTGTGCAGCTGTAGTAAGAGCATCTCTAAAAGGACAATCTCTGCTCTCATCAGTTAAGCACACTTTAGCCCTTCACACCAAATTCTCAGGTCATTCTGGCCAGATGGGAATGGCTCAGGATTTCTCCTTAGTGATGATAACATCTTTCCACCTTACTATTGTGCTGACAGGTTGATAACACTTATCAGGTGTTTGGCCTGGCAGATGGCATGTAATTGCACAAGGTCCTAATGATTCCTAGCTGTTCCTATTATGTGTTTGTCTATATGCCATGGTGCTTAAATAATGAATGCCTACAATTCCAAACACATTCAGCTGGTTGCTCATTGCCTTTGTGTAAGGCATGCAAATAGAAAACAATATATAGGGGTTAAAATGCTGTGGCACAGAAAGAGCGGAGCAGTAAGAATATTTTGCATTACATTATGGGAGGGAGAGAAAGAAGAACATTGCAATAATCAATTCTATGTAAATTGCACTATGGAGTCATGCACGTAACATTTTCTGTTCTGCAAAGAAAAGGGCAACATTAAGTAAGCCTTGCTATCTGCTAGCTTTGAGTGTGTAATCAGGAAAGGATGTGAAATATAAACTTGGTTAATACTGAAATTAAATCAAATTGATTTAACTAGACATAAAATCATTATGCATAACATTATTAATCAAATCCACCTGCTATCATAATTATTTTAATATCTGTCACTGGTAAACAACTTGTGCTTTAAAGGTAAGCTTAAGTATTACGTAGGCAGCTTAGCAGTATGTAGCAGTCTCATTTCAGTGCTGTATTGGAAACAGAATGTCACAGGTTTAAAACCTGATATCTGCAGTTAAAACAATTTTAGATAGTAAACTGTGGAAAAGACTTCTTCTGCCAGAAAGATTGAAGAGTGATGCCAATCACAGCAGATAACACTGGCTTACATAAACAAATGATATGGTATTGCAGAAGGTATAGTAGAGGATAACACTATATATTCATGTGATTCAGGGAAAAGCATCTCACCAACATCTCACTTTCTTTATAATAGCCTGAGATTAGCAAAAACAATCTTCAGAATGTAGTGCTAGAACAGTACTATTTCATCTCCAATTTCTTTAATGAAAATCTATCATTCATATCACAGAAAAAACATATATTCAACACTGTTGCAACCATGTTATTTCAATGCTGAAAGTATAATCACAGTAGATTCTGAATAATGAAGGGTTTATTTCATTCCAAAATACATTCAGTGTTGTATTTATCACAAGTTGTTTCTGTCTGTATTTAGACCGTGCTTGAGTTGCACTTTTGTCAAAATTAATTCTTCTATTTATTAATTCAAGCATTACACCAATAGCATACATAGCAACTTGGACATTCACAATTTCTTTTAAGAAATAAAAAAGGTAGACTGCCTCACACAATCTGTGACAAAGGTATATCACCTCACAGAATACACAAGACATTATGGCAGTGGTGACCAACTGCAGAAGATCTGGAAACTACCTGCTCTATTTTGTACCATCATCCTTGGACAAACATGGACTGTACTCATTCTTCTTCATGAAATCAGGAGTGACTAGAAGTTTATTTCAAATTTTATTTTGGGAGTATATAAGGTACATGGGGAGAGTCAGCACTGCATAGGGAAGGGCAGGTTACCTACCTGTAACTATGTTTCTTTAAGTGGACCTTTGTGAAGTCGCACAGCTCCTGATGACTCCATGTTGGAACCACTGGAGGTATCATACGGGTCATCCGTATCAGAGTGTTGTGCTTTGGGCACTGGTTGTTCAACTGTAGCTTTGGGCTTTACCTGAGAGAGGGGAGGTTGTTCTCTTGGATGTGCCAGATCTCAGTACCGAAGTTGGGGATGGCGATGAAACTGACATACATCATTTAGTCACCGAGTCTATGGAGGTGTGAAATGCCATTGCAAGTCGTGCTGTTTGTCACCCTCTGTCTCCTTGGCTGAAGTGTTCTCCATTTGGATAGGAAAAAGCTGGTGGCATGAATACTGAGGAGCTGGAGATGCAGTATCATTACAGGTACTTGAATGATTGTGCGTATCGATTGGGGAGATGAGTCTTGGACCTACCCCTCTGACAGCGGTTTGAGCATGTTGCGAGGACTTGGTGAAGGTTACTGTTGCGGCAGAAAAGTAGGTGAGGCATGGTGCGAAGATGCCGTTGATGACGGCAACTTGCATCCATCCTTGGTAGATGAAGGTTTAACCTTTTTTCTGGGCTTTTTTCCTCCTTTTTTAGCTCTACTTCCAATGTCTTGCTGTTGTTGGGGGAATAGAAAAAAGGGTTCCCAGAGTCGCATCTAGCTCAGCCCATTTTTGTTCCTTGAGTGAGCATTTCAGAGAAATCCTCATGGATGAGGAGGATGGTGGTGCTACCAAGATAGATGGTGTTGATCTGGCTGATGCTAGCAAGGCTGAGATAGACGGAGCTACCGACAGCGCTGGCTGTTTTGCCAAACCTAATTCAGACTTTGATTTTTTTGAAGTTTTTGTGGCTTTGGAGGAGGCTACCAATGGCACAGCTGAGGTAGAAGGAGCCAGGACTTGTTGGTAGAGAGTTGCTTAAAGCCTTGTCTCTCCAATTCTTCCTGTCCTGGGCTGTAAAGGCCTGACAATGCTGGCAGGAGCTGACTACACAGCTTTTTCCCAAGCATTTGGAGTGTCCATCAGAGCCTGGTATTTGTGTGCCATAGTGCGCATGTAGTTGAAATGAAGAAATGGCTGAAGAACTGGATTCCCTAAGAAGCTGCTGTAGCAGTGGACAAAAAGTAACTGGGGAGCTGCTGGCACAGGGCGACTTTATGTTTCTGGATGACAGGGCCAGGTTGCCACCAAAATTCAAAGGCTAGCACTTGGAAAACTTTCTGTTGGAGCCTGTACAGGCAGAGTAAACCCACATGTGTGATTCATAGAGGCTACAAAGAAGAAAGAGCATCATTAGACTTCTCTGGAGGTGCAAATATCTATTTTATTTACCAGGAAATTAGCTAGGGGAAGTCTATGGAATTACAGAATACCATCCCCTAAGCTAATATCTTCATGACCTTCCTAGGAGAAGTTCATCAAGAGTTTTGGAGTTGGGTGTCATTTGGATAATGATGATACTCAGCTCTATCTCTCTTTCATAACTGATGGCAAGGAGGCTTCCGAGTTTCTCTATCATGGCCTGGATGTGGTTGAATGAAGTGCATATAAGAGACAAGTTCTGTTGCCCATTAGGAAAGCTAATCTGAGATTAAGTTTAAATACAGCTCTCACTGGGATGGGTTGGTTGTCTTTGCCCAGCTTTGTTTGGTACAGTAGCTTCCACCTTTCCTAGGGAAGAGAAAGCTGGCCGAAGGGGTTCATCTCTCAAATTCCTCCTGAATAGACAACTATAATGCATTTTATGTGGGGCTGCTCTTTAAAAATGTTCAGAAGCAATAATTAATGAAAAATGCAATAGCCAGACTATTGAATGGTGTGCATTTTTGGGACCATAGACAACAGTGGTCTTACAAGAACTGCTCTAGGTTCCAATTTACTTCTGAGCTGAAATTAAGGTACTGATTTCTACATACAGAGTCCTAAATGTCTATGGGTCAGATTATCTAAAAGGCTACTACCCTGATTTTTCTGTAAGAGCACCCAAAACGTAAAACTCCTTTGCAAGGGAAATCATGCTTTGTCTATCCAAGTTTCCAGTGAACAACTCAGATGGTGCTTTTGGCATGGACATTGGCCCTGAAAATTGCTCTGGGTGTTTTAACTATCTGGTTTTAAATTAGTTTTAGGAATGTGCATAACTTTTAAAGCTTGCTTTTAAAAGCTTTTATTCATATAGTCTTAAAATGTTTTTTCCACTGTACATAGGAACCCTGGCACAGTGAAGAAGCAATGTATAAATGCTTTCAATAAATAAAATGAATAATTTTAAAAGGGCATTGAAGACACAATGATACATGAAGTATAAAGCCCCTGAACTTCCTCTTGTCCATTCCTTTTGCACACTTTTGCTGGCTCTCTGCCTCTAAAGACATTTGAGGACTACAGCAATTATTAAGAGAGCCAGCAATTGTTTTTTTTTAAAAAAAAGATATAAAAATGAAATTGTATGAAATAGAATGGACAGGAATTCACACTTTATTTTTAATGAGATAAAGTTTTTCTGTATTGTCTAATCCCCTCCTCCCCTTCAAGATGGTAATCATAAAAATCTGGTACTCTTTTACTGGCACCAATACATTGAGATATTAAATATGGTACAAATATGGTTGAGACATTTGTTCCCTTCTGCTTCTATAAAAATCTTTCTGGATAGGCTCTTCATTTTGAGGTTGTTTTACAGGGGAAGCTCATCTATCATAACTGATGATATTCTAAGAATTTTCTCTTGGGAGTACATCTCAGCATACTCCACATCCCAGTGGCTATGCTAATGTGAATGGATGAACATGTGAGAGAGATGACCTGGGTACAAACTGATGTAACACCAATAAGATAGGGAATTTTCTCTCTTCTTTTGGGAAAGGAGATAGCAATATCATATTTATGGAAATTAATTTGGAAGAATCTATAGGGTAAATTCAAACAAAATGAAATTAAATCTTCAATCTCTTTTGTTAACCAGTTTGCTTTCTCTCAAACACGTTTGTGTTGCAACAGCAAATGTGGAGGCCTTAGAATTAGAGAGCTGGAATACAACTTAAGGACATCCAGTCCAATCCCCTGCCATGCAGGAAAGGTCAATCAAAGCATTCCTGACAGATGGCCATTCAGTCTCAGACAAA